TAGATGATGGACCGTATCCCAGTTTTGCAGTCTGTGGAAATGCAATAGCTTTTTGTTGGGCTTGATTTTTGTTTTGTTGTGAATAAGAAAGCTCCAAAACTTTAAACAGCAGGATTTCATGAAAAGGGAATTCCTTTTCCCCAACTGAGGGTCAAATTCTGTTCTTTGTCACCTTGGTGAGATATACATGTCTTCTTGTCTTTTTTTGTAAGTGCATTTCAGCAACCATAAAAAAATGTGTATTTGATGATCTTGTACACATACATAAATTCCAAACAGACAGGCATCATGTCCATGACTTTTTCATTGCTACTTGAGTTTGACAACTATAGATCATACATAGCGAATTCTAAGCTACGTATCTTCACTGCTCTCCACTCTGTCCAGTTCACCCCATGTTAACGACCATCATACAGTCTAGGAAATGGAGCTGTGCTAATTTTGTAACAGCAAAATATCTGGTCATCTAAGACTCAGACCTCTGTCTGAGTACATATGACACTGCAAAGAGGTTTAGTGATGCACTGGGTAAAACTGATGGTCTGTCTTGCCCACGGCTTGTCTCACCCAGGGGCTCTAGTCCAGGTCAAACACCTGTGATACTTCCCCTTAATAGTCTCCTCAGCACTATACATTTTCAGCTGAGGGATTTCCCTGGCTGGATTTCTGTGAAGGTAAGTCAGTGTCCTTTCTTCCGTTAGTTAATCCAAAGACTCTTTAAAATCAAGTATTCAGCACTTACAGAATTCTTTTAGGAGGACAGCCACAGATCTGCTGCAATATAGTGGATACAGAGCAGGAAAAAATGCAGAAAATATCATGCTGGCTTTCCTAAAGTATGGTGTGGATTCCCCAGCGTATTATATGCCATGTAGACAAGAGACTATCTCATCCCCAGAGCACTAGAATGAGATTAGAGAACAAGAAGGATGCAGATCAGAAATGAACACTTTAATTCATAATTATGTATAGGGAGAGTGTGCAGAAAGGCTGAAAAGAGTGCATTTTCTCTGTATTGCTTACAGCTCCCAGATGAGACATTTGATAAAATTACTGTTACTAGACCATGGAATTTGCTGGAATTAGCAAAGAGGATTAAAAATCTATCTGAAGTTATCAGATGATAATAACTTTGGCAGGAATATTAAGCCTTTAATTCCAAGACTTAAACTAATCTCTTGCCTACTCCAATTCATACCTTTCCCTGATGTGATGGAGAAGCTATTTCATATCAACGAGGTTCTCACAGCTTGTTCAGAAGCACTAATTTCTCTGGCAGCTACTATCAGCTTCTCTCAAACAATGGGCTCTATAACTTTTGTTTGCTTATTTGTTTGTTTTTATTATTAAAGCCTTCTAAAGATGCTTAGGCTGGATATTAGGAAAAAGCTCTCTGGCACTGGCATAGGCTGCCCAGTGAGGTCATGGTGTCGCTACCTCTGCAGAACTGTGGAGATGCGGCATTGAGGGATGTGGTTATTGGCCATGGGGGTGATGGGTTGATGGTAGGACTGGGTGATCGTAGAGGTCTTTTCCAACCTTAATGATTCTAGATTATAAGTTGCATTTAAAATATTTTAAAAATACTGCAAAAGAGTTTTCAGATACATGCATTTAAAATTTTGGCAAAAGATCTTATGAAGTGAAAATGCCAAATTCCCCCAGCTACTTTGCATTCTTTACCAGCAGTGCAGAAGATACTTCTCCATTAACTCTCAAATCAGAAACATGTCTTGTAGTTATTCAAAATCAATATAAAGAATCCACATTTTCATGTCACTATATATAACCCATGCTGCAGGATAACAATCCGGAAAACCTATTTAAAGACTATGAGTGTACTATTGCTATTAGTACCTTCCTGCAGTTTTTAAAATTAAATTTGTGGCTACATTTACAAAAATATTTTCGAAACCAACAGCAGAGGAAAAACCACCTGAACACTGTGTTCTTGGATTTGCTAATTTCGCTATTCCATGGCATGTTAAGTGCTTGGGACAAAGCACATCCTTGTGTATCCTTAATGATAATGAGTAGCAGTGATAACAATCCCACTTGGATTAACCATGGGATACTGCAGCCAGCAGACCAGGGGCTGAAATGAAGAATCTTGTTTCCCAAATTGGAGTTGTAAACTAAATTCGCCTCCACTGAACTCTTCTTAACCCTGGTCACAGATATACAACAGGCACAGTGTTTGAGATCAAGAATGCTTTTACTGTTATATCAGTTAAAGCTGTTTCCCAGCAAATTCAACTATCCACCTATGTATGTTTGTTGGTTTTTTTGAAACAGTACCTCCCTACTTTCTCTCCCAGTGAATTATTTCATGGTCTAGAAGAGCAGATCTGCTACATCTTTTTGCAAATATCTTGCCATGTTCCCTTTTGTATATATAAAGCATATGTATTTTAACAGTATAAATATAAACTTCTACTTCGTGAAGAGTAAGCGGATGGAAATTACAAGGAAGATAAATTTAGCAGAACGTATTGTTCAGCTTTATTATGGAGCGCTATAAAGGCTTTGCACTGTGAAGCACAAAAGCGTTAATTTCTTTGCATTGATGGAGCTGCATCTTATTTACAGAGATGTAAAGGAAAAAGAAAGTTAGCATTGGTTTCTACTGCAAGTATGAAAAATTAAGCCATGTCCTGTTATGATGTAAATCAGCCTAAGTACAGATTTAGACCAATATGCAGCATCTGCAGAGCTATCTGAAGAGCATTTTTTCCCCCATGCCTTTTAAATAAACAATTATTCTAAGACTTGAAGTTGCACTAAAAAGGTGCATTTATCTTCATTCTGAATTGTATCTAATAGCCTATTCCTCTTAATCATATTACAGGAAGACATACGAAGTTGAACCGTACCATTAATCACAACTAGGCACACGGTGTGCTAGTACAGAAGCTTTATTGCTCAGTCTAAGCTGGTATGTAATGCAAATAATTTTGACATCTTGAAAATATTCTTATTTGATCAATTAAAAGCTTACTGCTAGTGCAATCTCATGATAAGTATTGATATAAGACTGATTAAATAGGAGTCATTTTTGCTTAAGTGAATATTTTCAGTTTTTTGCAGGAAAGGCATTTAGTGCCTTCAGCATCAGATCATACAAAGTTAATTGTGATATCGAAGCTACCAATACACAGAAAAATGTCTGCGTGCAGAGAGCATCTGTTTGACTGATGGAAGTCTGCTCATTGTCTCTCCTTCATTTCAGAGCAAGCAGAAGAGAGAATGAGATTTCCTGAATCACTGATTCAATTAAAAGCTTCAGGAGCCTTAGAAGGTGCTTTCTCTCCCCTCTGTTCTTGCTTTTCTTTCCTTTGACAAGATGCTGAGGAGACGATATACCTTTGAAATAGTCTTTAATTTGAGGACTCAGAAAACTACTAGTTAGCTCCTCAGCATTTTTCTCATAGTCTATATTGTGCATTAGGCACATGAACACGAAGCATGAGTGTGTTAATAAATACCAGTGCAAGAGATACAGAATTGTGCATGTGAACCAGAACTATGATTACTCAGTGAGTGATGCATGCAAATCACAAAGATAGAAAAACAGTTTACTTCACCTAGAAAATGGATTTGGGCTATTGACAAGGATTAAGTATTGATTTCAATATAAATTCAGACTACCAGATTTAGAAGTGCTCAAATTTAGTGGTTTACGTTGGGATAATTTGAAGGCCAAAGTAAAAAATCATATTTAGTAAGCAAAACTAATTTCTCTGTCATTTTTTAGTATTAATGAAATATGAAGAAAATGAAGGTCCTGCCATTCACAGGTTAGAAACTGAAAAGAGCTCTTGGATTTTTCAGTGTGAGTCTATTTCGCTAGCAAAGTAGACATAATAAAAAATCAAAGAGTATAGCTGATACAAAAATAAATCCATCATCTTTACCCTTTTAATGGGACATAATGAGCAGGTCGTACTGTGGAAGTAGAAAGCTAGATGTTGTTGGCACCAGATTGTAGTCCAGTAGTTTTCATCAAATGCTTCACTTTCTAAAATGTGATGATCAGAGAACATAAGAAATGCCATATACGAAGCAATTTTCTATTATAATGTCACATGCTTTGAGGCAATCCTGTTGCCTACTATGTCCCTCCATTATGAATAGAGTCTCTGAGCCCATTAACCTCTGGATTTCTATAGGATAATCGCATTAAGGATATTTCCATTCCACGAAACAATTGTCGTATTCTAGTTGTCTAAATCAACATTTAAGTATCTCTCTTTGATTGACTTACAGTGGTGCTGGATAATGTACCTTCCCTGGTGCAGCCATGCGCTATCCAGGAGGCAGACCCCCAGTCCGGGGAGAAATTAGAGCACGTGGCTGAGTGCTTTCTTGGATATTGGCCATGAGTGAGAAAATGAAAAAAGGGTGTTTTGTTTCTCCCTTTGGTGAGGATCATATGTAATGGTCAATGATTTTCAAAAATTCATAGCTCAGTGCTATGCTGGATGAGCAAGCAGTGTCTAGTTATAAAGATACGCTATTCATATCCTGCCACAAGAACAGGGCTAGAGAGAATATGAGAATATTATACAAGAAAACTAGTAAGTAAATGAAGTCTAAAGGTGGAATGGTTGATAAATTTGTGCTCTGTGATTATGTCTCCCATTACACAAAAAAATCTGCCAAATAGATTCATTATCTGATTAGTATGTGTGAACGGATGTCCTGGTCTGAAGTTGCTAATTCAGCCTAACTTCTGTTTGCTCTGAAAATAGATTTGACAAGGACAAAGGGATTAATTTGCTTCTGGAGTTACACTTGTGCAGACCTGTCAGTTCCATTGGTCTAACAGGTTAGTGGTACCATAATCGGGTTTTGAGGCTGGAAAATACAATAAATCCATGTTTCAGGAGTGTATGGGAACTGTTGAGTCACAGCCTGAACCACTGATTGATCACCTGAAGCAAGGAATGAGTCAGCTGTGGGAGCGCAGGGGAAGGCAATTCAGCTGTGTGACCGGAAGGGGGGGAGCCTGGCTGCACCTCTCCTAGACCCCATTTAAGGACTGACTGCCACTGAGGAGGGATCTCTTTCTGGAGATTCCTCCTTTTGGAGTTTTCTACTGTGAGCCTATGATACAGGTGAGCATTTTGTTTTTGATTGTCTCTTTCCACTATATTAATCTTTGTAATAGTAAACCTGTAAAATAACCATCCTAACTACTCCGCTCTTCTAACTGTACATTTATTAATTGTGCAGAAGTAATAGAACAAGTGTATTTTTCAAGGACTGAAGACCAGGAGTTCATTTTTGCAGAACAGAGATATGTTTGTGCTACAGACTACCAGCAATGCATAGCAGAGGGTTTCTGTGTGTGAATAAAGGAATCTGTGTAACACTGCTGAAAAAAGCCTTTTGTTTAGGTACTAAATTTGCCTCTAGAGAAGGAAAGAGGGTGTACTGCTTTTGGAAAATTTTAAGGTGTTTACAAGTTATGTAGTGCTGAAAGCCACTGGCTCAAACTCAATGCGAGTTGGTTTAGGAACCTGAGGCAATCTACTCGTGATAATGCAGAGCTTTCCCTTATTGTACATCAGGAAAAAAATAGTCACTGGGTGAACTAGATTAACTGAAATTCACTTAGAAGGAGAAAGGACTCTACTTGAAATAGTTTTTTTTTTTATAAAAAAAAAAAAAAAAAAAGCAAAACTATGGGGGAATCTGTGCTTCCTGATGGCAAATTGAATATTTTACATGTAGAAACTGTCATAGTTTCTTTAACTTTAATAAGCAAGGATAATCACTGTGTGTAAAGTATATTCTAGTTAAAAAACAACAACAACAAAAAAAAATGCTGTATTTCCCAGGGCTTCAGATTTTCAGTCTTTCCCCTCCACAAATCAATCTTTTGAGCTGCAGATTAATTATTGTTTATTGGCTGGAAGAGCAGTAATACAGCACATTTTAAAACATAACAGAAAAACTGGGGACTTTTGCAGGAGCAAAGTAACCATCTCCAACATCCCCAGGGAAGATCTACATAAGAGATGAGGTAGGAATCAAATCCATGTCCTGTGGGTGAGGCAGAATTGAAGGAGACAATGCAAAATGCAAAAGTTTGGCTTTCCTCACACCTCAACTGAGATCTGAAGACCTCTGCTATCTCTCACTGGGAGGCTTTAGCAGTGCCACACCAATGAGAGCTCCTCTGAGTCGTGACTCCCTGCATGCCTTGGGAAAACTGCCTGACTGCACTCTTGTTTATTTGGAGCCTGGCTTGCTTTTGTGAAGGAGATGGTTTTTTTTTAAAAAAACATGAGAAATGAGCTTTGAATGGAGGCCAGCAAACATCCTGAACTAATTCACTCCAAAAAGCCTGTGCTTTTTTTTTTTTTTTTTTTTTGGGGGGGGGGGGGGGGGGGGGGGAAGATAAATCCCCCTTAGCCTTTAGCAAACATTTTAAACAGCTAGCAAAATTCAATCTGTTTTCGGATTCATATTCTCCTGTCCTTCCTGCTTGTGTTCTGTACTTCTTTAATGCAATTGGCCACATCACCCTGAACTTGCACCTGATATATCTCAAAATGTGTTTCTGATGTTCCTAACGATGTAAATGGGATGGAAAGGAGAGCTCTAAGAGCCAAAAGCCACTCGTGACACTTGGTAGTTCTGCTGCATGTTGCAGTGATAGCTCTTTTCTATGGCCGCTTGAGGGAGCTGCTAGGAAGAGTGTGAAAGAGCTGGGTTGGGTTTGACGCTACAAAGACATAGCGGATGAGAAGACATTTCCTTTAGGGTCCCACCTTTTGAAATTGTACAGATATGTATGATTTTTATACTACTCGACATCCATTCGAATTTCTCCAAAGTTGCATTTTTTTACCTGTATCATTCTGAATTACATCATCACATGTGCATCTATTTTACAAAACTTATGTAATGCTGATAGCAGGTTTGGTTATTATTGGAAGTGAAGCAACTGTTTCAAATATCTGAGCAAATTACGCTGAGGGGCTGACCCTTCTGGCTGCAAAAATGTGAGATTTGTAATAGTATGTGGTAAAGGAATTCTTTTAAACTTTCTTGCCATGCTATTCCACTTGCAAAAAGTAATCTCACCATATAATTTAAACATTAAACCATTCAGCATAACCTAAATCTTTGTAGTTTGCTTGTCAATCAGGATGATTGCATACTCCAGTAGAAGTTTTAGATATCATAGCAAAAGCTACCCTTTGGATCATTGAGGCTTGGAAAACTGTTACCAAGTAGTGTGTAGGGCTCCAATTCTGAGCCAAATCTGTTTGTGCCGTGAGGCACTGAACCCAAGGGCATAAGAACTTTGCTATGTGGTCTGATCAAAAGGCAGATTATTCAGAAGTCTGGACAAAACTTGGGCCCAAGCACTCACATGATCAACGAATTGGGTGATACGAGTCTGTGGGAAGAAGAATTTCTTGATATTTTCAGCTTTTTCCATCTGAGTTCCCAAGCATTATTATTTTTGCCTGCGGAATCTCAGTGAAACTGCATTTAGCTGTTGGTGCTGGTAGAGATCTGTGTTCTTGATCTCATAATATGCCTCTTTTTGCCACATTAAATTGAACCCTGTGAGCTGTCAACCCACTGCAGAGCTAACCACCCAAGGAATCCGAGAGGTCTTTCTGACGTGTCAGATTTTGTTGTCCTTGTCCTTTACAATATCAATCTTTAAGAATGTCAGTCTCTCAGAAGAAATGCTATTTAATAAATATTCATACAATCCATACAAGTTTAGATTTCATTTCTTGCTTTTCTTTTTTCATCTCTCTGCAACTTTTCAGACTTTCTTCAGCTTTTGAAATGTAAGTTGACAAAAAATGCCAAGTCTGATTTCCAAACCTCTCCAACAGTGTCTAATTTTGCACTGGAGAAAGGGAACTTTATAATTCAGTGCAAAAAAAAAATCTGGAAAATTATAAATTTCTAAATTAAAATCTTCAAAATATCAAAAACAATGTGCTTTTCATTGAACTCCAAAAGAATGGAAGATTACAGAGGGGACAAAACTGCTGTCAACTGTTCTTTCTGTAGGTCTCTTCAGAAATTCTCAAAAAGACATTTTTCCTATGAAGGATTTGATGAAAATTCATTTTTGACACATTACATCTTTTTATTCCTGTTTTGTTCAACAGACATTTTCTAGATGTGTCCATTTGCTGCGCCACCTGATTTCAGAATTATATCAGCTTGTGAGCCTCCGAACAGAAACTTGGCAGAGAAGATGGTGTTTTTCAGCAGCCAGAAATATTTGTTTCCCCTTACACAATTTTCCCAGGTGGACTGAATCCACCATTACACCCTATTTTCTACACTCCAAGAGGCCCAGGACAGTACTGAGAAAACTCACATGTATGCAATGGGGTCACACAATAGCTAGGGGAGCTCTGGGTGTAGACTGAAGGAAGAGATGAGCAGAAACTGCACTACAGCTTTTCTGAGGCACTTCAGCAGCAATCCTTCATGAAAGTATAAACTGTTTTGAGCTGTGGCTTTCTGGTTGTGGATCTAGCTTTTTTTTTTTTTTAATTATTATTTTATTATTTTTGTGCAAGGGAAATATCTTTGTGTGCTAAGCAAGCATTGAAAAAAATATTAGGTGCGATTCTTATGACAGGTAGCTGTAATTCTTTTTTTTCTGTAAACACGTTCCAGTAATGTTCACAAATGCTCCTAACTCACGCTTGGATATGTATGAAAATTAATATAAAATACTGCTATGATTGGAAATAAGAAAGTCACCTGCTGGCTGCTTTTGCATATCTGTGGGGGAACCCGATCTGGTGCCTGGTTTAGTGGTTTGGCAACCCTGCCCATGGCAGGGGGTTGGAACTCAATGATCTTTGAGTTCCCTTCCAGCCTAAGCTATTCTATGGTTCGTATGGGAGAGGCCAGTGCTGACCTAGTGTCAAGACCAGCACCTGTGCACACTGTAGGCATGGTCATGGTGGGTAAACACTAAGCTCTTATCCTTGCTATCCATGTTCTGTGGATAAATGAGAGATTTCTCACTCAACAGTCATCAAACCACAGGTATTATAGACATTTAACTTACAGTACAAAACTTCTTGTGATTTTTGCATTGCTTCTCTGTGGGGTATGCTTGGGCTTAATTAATACACCAGAGGATGGTTTGTTCTTCAGAAAATATGAGTCTGTTAGCATCTCTAAGAGCTCTGACATTGTGGAGATGTGAGTCACATCAGTGAAAGCTGCCTGAGGCTACATTTAACCTTGTGCACTCAAGCTGAAAAATAATTAATAAAATATTCCCAAGTGTTATGTTTTTCTCTCCCCCCAAATCAACATCTTAATTACAACAGAGTAGGTATGGAGAAAGCTACTCTATTTGTAGAGTTATCTTGCCTTTCTTTGTGACCTTTCTCACTGAAAAACGCTTGTAGTCTCAGTGAAATATCAGTAGTGAAAACACCAAATTAATTTCAGTACCTGTTTATATATGAACTCTATCCTCTAAGCAGCAATCTTAGGGGGATTGCACCTTTCTCTGTATACAATGCCTGACATATGTAGGACCCTGGTCCCAGGTGGAGCCTTAGGCACTGTAGTAATACAGATAGAAATGTTGATAACAATATGCTTACTAGCTCCTTATGGAGTGTATTCAGGCTGGATAAATTCTACCCAAGATCCTATGTCTAGTAAAAGGAGAGCTAATCATCTGTAAAAGTGATTTGAAGAGTCTAAGTGAGATGACAGAAAGGAAATACTAGGCATGAAAGCAGAGGTTGAATTGTAATTCCTTCATTCAGTCATTACTCTTGCAAGAGGAAAAAAAAATCAAAATTTAAGAAGAAATTAGTATAAACTAAGAACGTGGGACAAAAGACAGAATTTTTTTTGTTCAAACACTTAGAGAAATTATGATATTTGTGCAATCATCAAGTTTACTGTGTAATCACGATTTCTACAAAGGATCAGTGAAAGGCCTTGTTATTTCTGTTTAAAAAAAACACCACTTTTCTGCCTCCAATGCAAAAGAGAGAGGAAAAAAAAAATGTAGTATAACCTGTCTCTAACTTCTCTCTTTTAGTAGAACTGTTTAGAAAATTGTTATTAAGAAAGTAAAGCTAAAATACAGTTTAATTGGACAAAGATGTTAAAAAGTCATCTTTTTTCATGATAAAATTGCTCATATAAAAGTACACTCTGAATTTTTCAGTTTAGAAAAATAGATTATGAAATAAATTAAAAAAAGCATTGAAAAGCAACGCTTTACTACTGAAATCATAATTCAGGGGTATGCAATACTGAAATATTATTTTCTATTTGAAATTACCAATGACATTTGCTGATGACTAAAATGTGCCTTCCCACATGGAACATCTTGTATTTTATGAAGTTAGTCTGACATTTGGTGCACTCGAATTTTCGTTCTATGATCTCTATCTTAGATCCCCAAGTATGTAATCTCATCATTTGCTTGAAAGAGCTAAGAAAGGTTATCCAAACCTCTAAATGAGGTCTCTCTGTAACTCTTCATGGATTACCTGAAGGCTCATTCTAAATCCTCACTTAGATTAGATTGCTGAGGTGACATGATGTCAATACTTTCCAGAGTTCAACTACAAAGCAGATATTTTGTTCTAAGTGTCAAGCAATTTCAGCCCAGCAAGGGGAGATGCCCTGATTTGTTAGAGGAAGGTGGTTGAGCTAATAATGAATAGCAGCTATCATTAATGCTCAGAAAAATAAAATGGACTGCTTTAATTTGTATGCCATCTCACCACGTGAAGTCAGAAACAGGGTTTGTGTTACCATAGTGGTTAGCATAAATAGAGGAGCAAAACAGGATTGGAAAGGCCATACAGTGAAATAAGCTAGAGTGAAAACCTGAAGCTCTGAAATGCAACCATGGGAGACTCTTAGCAGATTTCCAAACCTGAATTTCCCCTTCATCCTGTAATTCTTTTTCTTGAAGAAATCCTGAGGGATTTCATCCTGATTAGGAGTAATGGAGATTGGAGGTTAAGACTTTTTGGAAAAAATATTTGTAGTTTGACAGCCTTTGGTTTTAGACATGACATGGCATAAATAACAGAAAAATTTCCTGGAGCAGAAAAGTCTTCATAAGAGTGCTGGGAGGATATTGAATACAGCTCTGTGCTTGCATTGATGTATTCTTCCATGGCCATGGGCTGTTGTCCAGTTTTGGACAACAAATACCAAATACCAGGACTATTCCTATACTTTTGATGCAGAGGGAGGGGAAAATTCAACCCAAGAGATCAAGGGCTGTAATTCAGTCAAATCTACTTCATACCCCACTGTTTGCATTTCATGATTTCTTTATTTTGCAGAGATCTGAGAATGTTTCCATTAGACAAAGTATTGAAAGTGCCTATTTAGAGAAGTTACTGCTTGTGCATGGAGTAAGGGGATGCATTACCAGCAAGTAGCAGAAGGGGAAAGAGAAAAACATGGAAGAGCTCTAGATTTGCTGTTGGGGTAAGATAAAGGATAGGAAGAAAAATGAGTGAGAGCAGAAGTGAAAGCAGGTCATGATCATTAAAAACAACTGAAGTTGTGATTATTCTAGACAACACCAGAATGGTTTTAGCTACTACTAAATCTCAGAGATGTATCCTGGACAGTGGTGAATGTCATGTGTCTCTATGGTTGAAGCAATAAACAAACAGATCTGACAAGTGCTGTATAGCTTATTCTCTATTTGTGGTGGAACAAATAAAAGCAGAGTGGTGCCTAAGGGTCTGGGTTTGAAGGGAAAGTTGTTGAATACAAAAATCAGCATCACTTAGGAAGATAAAAGCAGGACTGAGAAATTCAGGACTGCTGAAGAATACTTAACCTGTGAAAAGAGGTGGATATTTAAGCTAAGTTCACCTTCCTTATTTCTCTTCAATTACCAAAGAAAACAAATACTAAAAAGAGGTCTGTCTTTCTTTTTCATGTTATAGTAAAAGGCATTGTGGAGTGTTTCCCATTAGGAGGAGCTGAGAGAAAAGCACTGGTACCACAAAGAAAGCATTATCCACCACTGAAACTTAACTGAAAGATATGTAGTCTTAAGTCTGCAGTTGAATTGGCAGAGATTTTCCAAATGATTCTAGATGCATGTGGTGGAAAATATGTTGCCAACACAAGGGGCAGAATTCTCTTGACTATAAAAGGAGTGGGGAGAATCAGCTCAAATGCAGATTCTCTGTTGGCATGTGAAATCGCTCCAATGAAGCCTGACCTCTGTGTTTTGAAATAACAGTTATTATGTGTGAGGTCTCCAGGCTACTAAGCTTGGACTCTGTTTGTGCTTGTTGTGGTTTCCATACGCCTCAGGCTCACATGGATAACCTTTCCTCTGCCCCAGGTGGGGAATCTCATGCAAAATAAAAATCAGTCTTTTATAATCACCTGAGGCCAAGAGATGGAGAAAGTATAAAAACCCTTTGCTCAGCCAAATGTTGAGAGCCTGCGTTGTGGCCACGAGACCTAACAGTGCTGAAATTTTGGCTTTGTTTCAGTTCCCCTCTACTGCATATTCTTCTCTCAACTCCCAAGCTTCATTCAGAGGTAACCTTAGGAGCAGCCGCATCTTACACGAGTGAATAAGAATGGCATGTTGTCTTGTTCTCTCTCTTTCCCAACCCTATCTTCCACTGATTTATGAGTCCCCTGAGTTTTGATGACAAGATGTTTTTTTTCCCCGTGCTTCTCTGAAGGGGCATTTCTCATCCATAGATCACTGTTGAAATTGACACATGCCTCTTGAGAGTTAGGTTTGGGTGTTTTCTTGCTCATATTTATTCTTGTTTACAAATTATTCTGAAATAAACAGTACTCATGCATAAGTTTATTGACATGATTTTCATATTTTTTGTTTGTTTGTTTTCCCACTTCTGTGAAATGTTTTGTGGTGTTCTTGATGGGTATTGGTTGAGGTATGAGTCATAAAAACAAAACAGTATAAGTGCATTCTTCAGTGCTTTCAAACAGATCACACATAATAGAGCAATAATGCATTATGTCGCGTGTTGTTCCATAGACCAATTACCTAATCAGATAATGTCAGGGAAGCAAACTTATAGCAGACATTAATTATCAATGCATGGACTGGTAGCAGATGGCAGAATTTGCAGTAGAGAATAAGCTGATGGTGTTCAGTGGATTAATTAAAGCTTACAGAATTTCATGCCCTCTGCTCAAAACCCAGTGTAAACTATTTTATTTTATTTTTTTAGAAGAGAAAAACAATATTTAGCCATGTTTCTTTAACAGATCAGATTTTTCTACAAATAGTAACAGAGTGAAAGGAAGAAAGGAATACTCAGTCTTACTGAAATAACTCCAGTGGTTGCCATGTGCCTCAGGAGCATTCAGTTTGGGATTAAAAAGAAATGAGTACTTGTTGTAAAGCACATCAGCAGTTCTGGGAATAGGGACTGTGCGTAACTATTGGACTAAGGAATCCTGCTTCACTTTGCTTTGTCTTTTGGCCAAATTACTGGATGTCGTTTTCCCCTGCATCTGTTTCTGGGCTACACAAGAACACTGGCATCTATGAGATGTGAATTATCTCTGCACAAACAAATGGATACAACTTTCCCCTGGACAAAATTGAAGTTAAAAATATTCTGGTTCAGAACTCAGGGAAGAGCAGCTGTTTTGACCTCCCATCAGGAGAACACTCTCAGCTGGGAAGATATTGACCTGCTAACCTGAATAATCCTTCATGTTTTAATTGTAAATACTGCTCAGCAGTGCTTTACTCCAAGAAACTCCAGCTTTCACCACGAGGAGGATATGCAGAGCCAAAGCTCTTCCCAAGGTCCTTTACCAAAGGCACTGGGAAGCTGTGAGTGAGACATGCTCCAGCATGGAGGTCTGAGGGGAGGGGAAGGGAACAATAGAGCAGTTTCCAAGACCAGGGAGTAGGCTATATGAGAAACAGATTGATAGGCATCTAGACACAGTTGGATAGCATGCTTCATTAGAAGCAAGTATTGAAAGGAAAAGGGTTATGGAAAAAAAAATAAAAAAATTAAAAAAATCCATTTCTGTTACAACCAGGCTTGCTGTGATAAATTGTCTAGGAACATAGGAGTGAGGCATGCTACCACATGGTCTATTCATGGAGGAAGAAAAAGCAATAACTGCTCCAACACTAATGAGGTATAAAATATCTCACCTGACAACCACTGACACATATGGGTCTTGATTATTCTCTCGGCAGTATGAGTTCAGTCTAGATTTTATTATTTCCTGCTGGCTGTAAACTTTGCAGAGGCAAAAGCAAGAGTCTGTATGCTCCT